TTTTTTTTTTGTGTAATACAAATTTAATTTTGCGTTAGTTTACTTAAATGTTTCTCTGTATTCTGCACTTATTGGGTTTTACAGTGCAGGCAAAACTGAATACGCAAAAAACCTTCTTGAAAGTTATTTGGTCTTCACTCTTCATGTATGGGAAACAAAAAACTGAAGAACATATTTCTATGTACTATAGCATTGCCCCATGAGGAACAACTTTACTGCCTTTTATTTCTCCCTGAACTTCATTATTTTAAACTGTCATTTGCTTTGAGCAGGTAAACTAGTCCGGGCTGGCGCACAAAACTCTGTAAAGCTAATGCTAGCTGTGCAGCAGTGGTACCTGGTCCCTCAAACAGCCACTCGTCTCCTGCTACCCTCTTCTCTCCTCCCTCCTCTTCAAAGTCCAGCAGGGCCTGCAGACGCAGGGCTGTGTCCGGGTACACAATCTGCAGTGGCGTCACATCCTGTGAGAGAAAGACAAACAGACAAATTATAGCAATACTAATCAGAAGAAAATGGTAACAACTGGTAATAGTTATATTAGGATGTAAAATAATAATTATAAAAGGCATTGGCTGCTGCAAAATGGTGCTTGTTTTGATCTAGTCAACGTGAGCTGATGGGAAAAACATAGGCGTGATACAGACTCTTTTGACCGAAACCACAACCTGTTGAAACTACCCACACGTCTGAGCCCTTCAGCCACAAGCTGCAAAGCAATATGATTCTCAAGCATACAATACAACTTCATACCTTTTGAATCTCTTCACCAGGGTAGAGTGGGAATGGGTCCTGGGTCAGGCGGATCTCCAGGTCAGCATGTCTGAGCTTAGCTTGACCTGATGCATCAAACTGAACCTGACCTTCATCATTACGGGCAGTGGGGTTGAGCACAACACAATAGTGCCTGGGCGGCAGCATGATCATGCGGACAGGGGCAAACAGAACCCTGAGAGAAAATGGGAGTAAGATTTCAGATATTCAAATGTGTCGCATAATATTAGCACAAGAGTTGAGTTATATTTTCTAACAGTTTTGTTTTCTTCTTTTTTTTATTTTATACTTTTATTCAGCAAGGGTGCATTTGAATTATCAAAAGTGACAGTAAAGACATATATAATGCTACAAAAGACTTCAAATACAGTGGGTATAGAAAAGATTCACCCCCCTTTAAAATAATCACATTTTGTTGCTTTGCAG